GCATGCTGTGTTGGGTTCAGACCACTCAAGAATATATCATGTCTTTGCCTTGAGAAACCCTTGGGTTGCTTATGCGGTAGGAGAAGGAACTAAACCCGTGCTGCTCCTTTTAGCCTTGTGGCCTGTAGTTGCCTGCTCAAACATGTAATCAATAGTTTACACATTGTTGTAAACCTTCTGTATGTACCTTCATGACAGCATCTGTTGATTGTAGACCTTGAAAATGACCTGCATCCCTCTCAAGATTTTGTTAGATATTGTGATGTTGCCAAGCTTCTTTCTAAAAACAAAACAGACTGTTGATTTGGTCACTCATAAATTTTTGCTGTTTCTCTGACAGGCTCACCCTAAAGATGGCGTCCCTTACTAGCACTTTTTTTATGATTAGGATACCCGATTACGACATGGTACCCAAATTCAAGAGTGGATTCAGTGTAGTCTGTTCAAGCCATGTATGCGATGTCGGTGTCATGAAATCACCTCTTGATCATAGTCTTATTTATTAATGACCTCTGTGTGAGTGAGTGTAACATCAGTGACATCAAGAACACTGCATTTAACCTTGTTCTTGTAGTTACCTGCACTACCTCCAGTAGATAAAGTTAATAAAATACGATGTTAGAAGACGATTCAGAAAATAATACTAAAATACACGATTATTGTTGCATTTTCGCAGCTGTAAAAAGTGGTATCAGGTATGTTTTTATGTAGTCTCGGGTTACAATGTCGAACAAACCCGCCCTTTGTGAGGTCATCAGGCCTAACAGCGACACCCCGTGGACGGGGGCGGCAGTGCGCCCTTTGTCTCGGTCACGTAGCTGTTTACGGAAACATTTTCACGTCCGCACGTGCGCCAGTTTGTCACTTCTGCACGGTACGTGAGGGTTCGCGTGCCCTCGGCTCGAAGGAAGGGGCAGGCTGTGCTCGGTTTTTCTCCCGAAATATAAACGAGTTCAAACTTAATGCGTGTCGAGCGATGAGGACTGTGCTCTGCAGCCATCGTGGAGAAGTAGGAGGTGGTCCGGGCTTCATTTTGCCCGTCTGACCTCGCGCGAACTGTGCAGAAGTTGTCGTGAGCTAAAAAGGCCCAGCTGGGGGTTTTTGTGTGTCACACCTTTGAACACGGAGCGGATTTGTGACGCGAGGAAAGATGATTTTTAGGAACATTCACTCAGGGACCTGCAGAGCATGGCTGTCCCGGGTGAGTCGACGTTTGTTTTCACACTTGCTGTCATGCTAAAACGCTGAAGCCTTGTTATAGTCTCTCTGCGTGAGAAGAAACGGATGATAAACGGACAAGAAGCAGCGGGTGTTGCTTCCACTGTCATATCTTTGACTCCTTTTCTTGAAACGCCCTGCACTCTCTGGCATTTGGTCAAACCTCTGAGGAAGTTCCTGCACTGTGCTCACATGCACTTACTGCTCTTTCAGCATTTTCAAATGAGGAACTCTATTTCACCTCTTCACCTTCCACCTGCAGGTTTCCCTGAGGCAGGAGCTGTGTTTCTTCTCCTCGGTGCCCCCACAGCCGGTGCCTCCTCTGGCCCAAACCCTACAGGGCTACTTGCGGGCGCTGGAGCCCCTGCTGCCCCTCGAGGAGCTGAGCCACACCCGTAGGATAGTGCACGATTTCGGCCGGCCGGGCGGGCTTGGTACACAGCTGCAGGAGGGTCTGGAGAAGAGAGCCAGACTCAACAAGAACTGGGTGTGTAGCAGAGTAGCGGAAGGGGAAAGAATCAATGAAAAATCAATTGGTGACTCCCACACGAGCCCCTCAGAATCAGTTAATTAGAATAACTTATTCAAAAATGCCCTGATTATTTGATTATTATTTCTTGACCACTTGTAGACAAAACATTAATTTGGTGATGTTTTGATGGTTTGGACGTTTTCTCTCAATAAATAGAGAAAAAAACTCAGTAAATTAATAATGGTTGAGGAAAAACAGCTTCTGTGCAAGCCTAAATGTGTGATCTGATGGTTTATAAGCTGGGTAACTGTTTTCAGAAATTAACTTATTAGACCAAGCAGCATTTTTCCAGTCTTCTGTTGCCCAATGTCAGTGAGGCCATGTGAATCACCATTTTCCCCTCGGTGTATACCTACACTACCTTGCAAAACAGTGTTTCAAAATAGTTTTTTTTCCCCTATCGATTAAAAACAATCACTAAAATAAGCATTACTTTATGATATTGTATGTATTTAGCTCTTGTTCTGCATTAAACAAACTTATTATTTCAAAGTTTAGGG